TGTTAGTTGTTTTACTAAGACATTGCATATAAGTGTTATCCATATACTTTTATAATATGAACACTAACAAATGATGTGTTTTGTAACCCTAATAAAGATATTTTGTCAGTAGGGTAGTTTTTTTTTCCTCTTCTTAACTTAGTCAAGTTTATAATTTATAGGACTGAAAAATTTCTGTGAAATACCTAGAAATTACATTGTAACTTATCCTACTTTAATTTAAAGAGAGAAAACTTTAATTCTACTACTACATATTAAAAGACCTGTTTTTATAGGAACTGTATTTAGCTATAAGTTAGTGTCTAACCCTAAAACATGTTATGTGACAGTTTTCATGGCAATAGCAGTTTATATTCTGCTTCATTACATATATCTTCTGTCTCCTGGAGGAAAAGTGAACTGAAAACCAAATGTGGGTCTAAATGCTGGTTCTGTGCTGTATTCAGAAAGGTAGGACTGTGTATGTCACAACGATCTGGAGACTTTTTTTAAAGTAAAAATAACTAGCACCCTGCTTGGAAATTTTCATGTACTCTCTAGATGAACTTTTGAATTCTTCTAAATCATGGAATCTTTAAATAATGATTTTGTGAGCCATTTACTTAGCAAGTGAGCAAGCAGCTGTTACATGATTCTTTTTATTAAAAAGAAGTGCATTTGGTGTGAGTGCTAGATTGTTTTTGTACACCAGTTGGTGAAAACATGACTGAGAGATAAGATGCTGGCTGTATCATTTTAAGAATGAAGACATATTTTAAAGTGGAACCTGATATAGTACTTGACCATAGTAGATACTCAGTAAATATTTGTTGAATGAATATTTAACCTGTATACCTATACTATACAGGTAGTCTTTGAGCCAACTGCAAATGATTCTTACGTATTCATCAAGCAAGGTTTTCCATCCTAAAGCAATAACATTTGGGGCCTGGTACTTCTTGGGTGGGTGGAGGAGTTGGATGGTGGGGTGGCCTGTACATTGTAGGGTGCTTGACAGCATCAGCATCTCTGCCAAAACACATTAGATATCTACAGCTACTACTTCTGCAGTCCCCCAGCAGTGGCCATCAAAAGTATCTCCTGATACTGGGGACGGGGACAAATCTTTTCTGGTTTAGAATTACTTCATCATGAAGGAAAGAGCATAGTTTTAGTGTGCAACCTGTGGAGCTCAATTGCAACTCCATGTTTTCTACTTCTGATTATAGAAATAGAAGCTCAGAGACACTAATTTATTTACAGATAGAACATTAACAGTCAGAATTCTAATTTTACTGTTTGTCTTATGTTGTGTTCTGTCTGTATAACTGTCATCCAGTTTGTCTTTTGTAAAAAGTAATTTTAAGATAATTTTTAGTGTTATCAAATACACAAATCTAGGATATGCATGGAGTTAATATTTCGTAAATGTTTTATGTGGTAAATACTACATTAAATTGGATCTTAAGGGCAACCTTCACCAGTTGACATTATTGAGAAAGTAGGTTTTAAAATATCCTGCACCGTAGTTGAATTTAAAAAATAAATTTTAGTCAGTAGAATAGTGATTATATGTTAACTTTCTTTAAGATTAATTCTCATTTTCTAAAATAACTTAAATGACTTAGATGATTTTCTGCTATATTTTGCAATTATGGTCTTTAGTTCTTTATGGGAATTCACATAAAGAATGGTTTCTTGATTTTTTTTAGAGATTTTATTGTCTATAGATAGGGAAATATGTGCTTATTACACACAATAAATTTTTTATATTGCAAATATATTACTCCTGATTCTGATGATAAAGCGGTTATCTCTTTTCTGGCTTTTTAAAAATTATAATTTCTTTGGTCTTTCACCAGTTGTGATTAAATTTGGAATAGCATCTCTAGGATGGGTTTTAACAAAAACTTATGATTATGATATAATATAGTCATTGAGACTCAGTGCTTATAAATTAAAGAATTTCTTTAAAAAAATAAATCACTTTTTTCTGGTTATAAGTTTGTTACTATAGAGAAGACAATAACAATGGATTTTTTTTTAAATGTGTTATACTGATCTTAAAAGACTAGTGTAGGTATTCTTGTATATTATTAGTATAGATTGCTAATACCTTTGAAATTATGATTGGTAGTAACTTTCAATTTAAATGTAGGTGTTTGGTGATACCTCATTTAGACTTTAAAGAACGATGAAGAAATAAGGATCTAAGAAACATGTTCAAAGAGATGTATATAGGAACATTATACATGAGTATGTTATTCCTTCGTAAGTGTCACAATGGGACAAAGTTGTGAAAGAATTGTTCCGAATTTTACTATTATAAGTACTCTCAAAATGCGAACATTTCCAGACCAGTATAAATGATCTTAAAATTTTGTTTCCACCACCCACAGCATTTGCTCTATATGGCTGTTTTCTTATCGTATGATTTGAAAATGCTTAAAAAATCACTTGATAGAAGAGAAAGTCTGCCTTTAATTTTCTGGTTTGTACTGTTTAACAAATAAAACTCCAGAGAAAAAGCCAGAGAAGGGGAAATGCTGAGAAATAGTTTTGCTACATAAATAAACTATCAGAAAATGGTAAAAACTGCATTTTATCAATATTGAAGATCTAATAAGAAATATATGTAAATACAAATGAAAGTGGTCTAAGGTAATAGGAATTTAAGATGTATTGTGAGGGTGGCAAGTAAGGTAGTTTTTTAAAAAAATGAGTAGAATAGCATACTACATAATTCTTTTAGGTACTATATGGTTGTGGATGTAGTTTTGAAGAAGTAAAAATCCTTCAGACTTTTTAAAGTGTTGTAAACTAGAGTACTTTGTTTACCTGTAGGCACATTTGGTTGGGTGGCTACCCTGTTTTCAACTTATTGGCTCTCTACCATCCTTGATTATACATAGTACTAAAAAGTAAAGGAAATGTTAAGCTAAAAAGCAGAAAATGTTAAGCTTAAAATTGCTGTGTTGATTGGATTTATTTCAGTTGGCAAAAAGGATACTTTTATTTGGTGATAGGATCCCCAAAATACACAAACTTTTTATGAAATTAGTAATATAACAATATGCTTTAGGTGTCAAAGTTTAGGTGTCAAACCTTTTCACATAACAGCTCTTCATATTTACTATACTATGGTTTTTTGTCTATGTTGAGAATATGAATACATTATTATTTAGAAATCCACTTTTGTTTTAGATAACTTTTAGGGTTCTTTATAAAAATACCAATTTCAAATTTTTACTTTTCTTTATTCTGAGGAAAGTAGATTTGCTTATTGCTTAAGATTGAGTTTACTAATTTTGACAATAAAGTAATAAACTGTCTACCCCCACTTCCTGAAATTGTCAATTAAGTTGGATTTCTTTAAGATCTGTGGTTTATGATGCAGAGACATAATAGGCAGCTTGTTGTGCATAATGAATTTTATCTATTAATGCAATGAAAATTTGAAATATTTTTGTATAGTTGACCCATTCAGTTCTTTGAGGTAGAACATATGTAGAGAAAGGAAGCATTTAGGCCTTAGAAAATAAAGTCTTGCATTTGATTTGAATCTCAATTACCTTGAGTAAGTTATTAACTGTGCACATGTTTATTGAGTAATAACTGTATGCTAGACATGGGTTTGGAGGGAAAGTGGCTAAAGGAATAGCCCTGTCCTTAAAGAATTCAGAGATTGGTTAACATTCACTTTAGTCTCTCTGAATCTGTTCATTTGTTGACATGGTAAAAGTAACTTTATACCCCTAAAATAATACTTAGAACAACTCATAGTTACTGGGTATAGTTAGTGACTTAGGTGTGCTATATTGTCATTCATACTACTTAATCATAGTACTACTCAAAAAAGTCAAAATATGGATTAAGTTCCTTCATTATTTGGGGCATACATAGCCTTTAGAGAATTTTTTTTTTTTTGAAGTTGTCTTGATGTTTCATTCATTCAGATACTGTTTGTTGTTACACTAGATGCACTTGCTGCCAAGTTTCTAGAATTTGAGGACCTTCTGCTGTTGCCTTGTGCTTCTGCTCTGGTTTTAATTTTTCATAATAACCTGTCCTACTCCACAAAAATAACTTGGTTATTATATCCTGATGGAAATACTTGATGTCAATGAAAAGAATGGACATGTAACTTGGGAATAAGATATCATGTAGGTCTAGGGGGTGCAAACTTCTTTCTTTAAAGGTCTTGATATTTTAAGCTTCATGGACCATTCGGTTTCTGTTAGAACTACTCATTGTGCTGTTAGTGTGAAAGCAGCAGCATACAGTATATAAATAAATGAGCATTGCTGTGTTGTAGCAAAAGTTCCTTTATGGGAATTGAAATTTGAATTTCTTGTAATCTTCACATTATAAAATACTTTTTGATTTTTAAAAACTTCCATAGTTTAAAAATTTAACAGCTGTGCTTTTAGATCATGGACCCTTCAAAAACAAGTGACTAGCCAAATTGGTCAATAGGCAATAGTTTGCTGACCCCTGTTCTAGGGTATAATCTAAGAATTTGATGTAATTGTTGTTGAATAATAATTGTCAGACTTTTAGGTGAATGGTGCTTTTTATTCAGGATCTTATATCTTCAGGTTTAGAAAATGTGTTCTGCTCTTTTTTTTTTTTCCTTATACAAGTTTACTTGTATAGACTGAATATGTGTCAATAATTAAAAACTAATAGGAAAAAAAAATTAATATGGTTCCTCCCCATCCAGTGAAGATTTGAAAGATATCTTTTAAATACTAAGTACTCCCAGAGTTTCATCTACCTCAAACCAAATTGTATAAATTTGGATTTCAAGTAATTTGTATCAGTGTTTCTATACTTGGTCTTTTAAATTTAAAATATTTATACAATTGGGACTTTTATCTTTTCAATGAATTTTAAATACGCATTTATATCCCATGAGCTTTACTGAACAGTTTTGACTCCCAAAAGTACTTTTTATTGACTGTAATAAGTTTGTGTGTTAAAACTGTAATTTATATAATGCTGACTTGCTTTCTATATAGACACCAGAGAAGAAGCAATCAGAATCTTCCAGGGGGAGAAAGAGAAAAGCAGAAAACCAGAATGAAAGTAGTCAAGGTAAATGAAGCAACATCTTCCTTTAGTATGAAACATACACTGATTTTTTTTTTTAAAGACTTATTTATTTATTCATACAGAACTGGGGTACAGGCCAGAGATGCGAAGGGTGAGAGGATTCACCAGGGACAGAGTGGGGAGCAGAACAGGCAGATCGACGAAGTACACTGCTGAGGGGGAGCAGCGGGCGGGTCAGGAGAGGTCTGCCACGCCATGTGGTCACCTCCAGGGCAGGCGGGAATCGAACTCATGCAGAAGTGGCTTTAGTTTCTCAGTGCTGTGCTTTAACCCGCTGCGCCACCAGGGAGGGCCCATATACTGATATTTAATCAGTTAATAGTTTAATTGTAAAATAATTTTGTATCTGTGATTTCTGTTGTTTATATGATCTTTGATTGATAATAGTTTAGGGATGTCCTATACATGAGAAATGATAATGTGAAATTGGAATCTTTTTGTATCACAGGGTTTTTTTTAGTGTATGGTTAGTGTTAGACTTATTTTGTTGTTGTTTTAATTGAGGTAACATTATATCTTCCCCATCAGGTGTTGCCACCAAAATGTACACACTATCAGGTCACCTGTAGTCTGCCATCATAGTCTGTTGTGCTCCCTTCTCTTTTTGTTTTTCTTAGGCTTTTTTAAATTTCCTCTTTAAAGAAAATGCTTCAACTAGAAAGACAAAGAGTCTTCTCTGAATCGAGTGTTACTTTATCACATTTCTCTTTAATCTCTTTATATGAATTTTGGTGTTGAGATGACTTCTTTTTAAATAAAAATGTTAGTCTCACTTTAAAATGATTACCCAAGCATACTCATCTCATATTATTTTTAAAAAACTGATTAGGCAAAAGATATTGAAGGAATTAAAATTGGAAAAGAAGTAAAATTATCACTGTTTAGCAAATGACATGAAAATATACAAGTACATGATATATACATGTATATGGTATATACATGTATGAGAATATACATGTATGAGAATATACATGTACATCATAATATACATGCAAAATCCTAAAGATTCCACTAAAAATCTATTAAAAACAGTAAATCAGTATAGTAAAGTGGCAGGCTACAAAATCAATTACAGAAGTCTGTTGCATTCCTCTGTGCATATAATAAACTACAACAGAAAGAAATCAAGAAAACAGTCCCATTTACAGTAGCATCAAAAAGGTACCTAGGAATAATCTACCCAGAATACATTTGCACCCACCATGTTTATTGCTGCTTTATTTACAATGGGAAAGACATGGAATCAACCCAGATGCCCAAAAGTAGATGGCTGGATTAAAAAGATGTGGTACATATACACAATGGAATATTACCAGCGATCAAAAAAGATAAACACATGCCTTTTACAGCAACATGGATGGAGCTGGAAGGGATTATGCTTAGTTGAAATAAGCCAGAAAGAAAAAGAAAAATACCAGGTGGTTTTCACTCATAGCAGGAGCATAAAAGGACCGGGTTGGGGGAGCTAATATGAACAACTATATACCAGAGACATTTTACTGGGGTGGAGTGGACAGTTGGGGGGGGATGTGCATGGAGCATGGTGCTGGCACACTGGTGATTTGGTGATGAGAAGTTCACAGGGATTACAACTGAGATGGGAAAAGGCACAAAATTATGTAAAAATAAACTTTATAATTAAAAAAAAAAGGTACCTAGGAATAAATCCAACAAATTTTCTGCAACTCTCAGCTCCACACTTTGTCCACTATAGCCATTCCTCGTATTGTTTCTCTTTACCCACTGTTTCCCCTTCTTTTTATCTTGCTCCTTTTAGCTCCACATCATGGAATAGTAGCAGTGACCTGCACATCAAAGGTGCCCTGAATCTAGTCACTTTCTAAAGGTCATTTCCAAAGCAAATTATCTTGAACAAAGTTCAACATCCAATACTGCTGTGATGAGAAGCAGGATAAGTTCCAGTATTTGGGTGAAAATATAGCCTCTAGTTAATGATCTTTTGATAACAAAGATGAACTCAGGTTATAATGACAAGCTGAAAATGGAACTGAATGAGAAATACAAGCTGGATAATGAGAGCTACCCATTTTTCTACCTGTTCTGGAATGAGGACTTGGAGAACCCAAGCCTGGATAGTGGGGTAATTAAGATTGATAATCATGCAGCACTGGCCAGTACAGCATGTAGTCCACATAGTTATTCCTGTTTGCCCGCCAATGTGTGCTGCTCTTGCTGGGGAGTTCATCAAAACCTTTGCTGTGGAGGCTTGTCCAGTCCTCTTGAAGTGGGGGACAGGACAACCTTACAAGTGTCAAAGACTGAGAACAAGTGAGCCAAACAATACCTAGATCACAGGGAAGATTGTAGGCCAAGATGAGGACTTCTCAGCATCAGAAATGATCTTCATTGCCAGGCTGATTGAGAAGAATATGACCAAGGGGTAGGGAGAAAGAAGAACAATACTAAAGCTTAAACATTTTGACTCCCTTTCACAAGAAAGGGACTGGGAAAGAGGAACTATATATAAAAAGGCACTCCAGGGTTTGGTGGGGCTAGTGAGGGGAGAGTTATTACTAGCTGTTAGTCCCAATTACGCTGTAGAAAGGAGTGGTGGGAAAAGTGGCAGTAAACCAGTCTCAGTATGCCTAGACATTGATCCTGATGTGACTGTTCTCTATGCTTGGACCAGCCTGCATAGAGCTAGAACATATACCGAGGTGACTTGTGAAATCCCTTCCAGGAGGAATTGGTGTTATAAAGTAGGATATATGGCCCAGGTCCTTGACAGATTAATTTTGATCCAGTTAAGTGTTTTGTTTAAGGGAGGGAGGACTGGGAGGCAGAGAGGCGCTAATCAACATGTATCTTAGACACTAAATTCAGTACTTATAAAACTGATGAAAAGTCCATTTTAAAGGAAACCTTTTCATTAAAGACTGTGAGCCATTATGATTTGGGTCAGTGTCAGTGACATCATAGAAGAAAAATAATACCTAGATTATCTGAACCTTACATGGTACTATAAGATAAGGTGTAATTTATTAACAAACCTCATTGATTTGGAATTACTTTTAGAAAATCATTTTTAATTGCAGAACATTTTATAAAGTAGACTTTATATTAAAGGGTGTTATTTTCAGTTTGTTATAATTTGTGTTAACCAAAGCTTTTTTATTTGCAGTATAAATTTGTCAATTATGCGGCTGCTACATGTCTTTTATTCATTGATTTGCTTTTATTAAGTTAGTACCCATTAAGCAGTATGAATAATGCTTTTAAAATGAGATCCTTGAATGACATTTATTTGATGCTAAACTAATTGGAACTTTTAAAAGTTGAACGTGTTCCTATTGAAATGTCATTTGATTTTGGATTTTTGAAATTGGCAACTGACCTTTCAATAACCATTACTACCCATCTAAAAATACTAATATTCTTTTTATTAAGTAGATAACTTTCATGTGTGTTATTCAATTACGTTTGGCACATTTTCTTTTTTTAAGATTTATTTTTATTTATTTATGCATATAAGAACTGGGGTGTAGACCAGAGGTGTGGGAATTGAGAGGATTCATCAGATATGGTGGGGAGCAGAACAGGTAGGTCTGCTAAAACACACTGCTGATGGAAGGGAGCAGTGGGAGAGAGGAGAGGTCCGCTGCCCATTGTGGGTTAACCCCCAGCCAGGTATCAAACTCCTGCCACAGTGGCTGGCAATAATTTGATAGCACTGACTTTAACCCCTGGGTCAACAGGGAGGCCCAAGTTTGGCACATTTTCTTTAAAATAATTTGATTGTCAAAACTAACTTGGTAACATTTTTTTATTTTATATTTTAGGAAAGAGCATTGGAGGACGTGGTCACAAAATTAGCGACTATTTTGAAGTAAGTTCATTAAGAAATATCTCCCATACTCAGCATAATTCTACTATGGACTGAAAATAGTTTCTTGGACGCACAGGGCCAACTTTTCAGAACACTCTTGATTAGAGTTTCATTACCATGTATTGTCCTGTCTTCCTGGGAACATTAAAATTTACACTTTACATTAGTTTGACAGTTTGTAGTTTTCAGAGTACTTTCCTATTTATTTGCTTATAATAGCCAAGGAGAGGCAAACTATTAATATTCCTGTTTTATATGAGTAACTGACAACAGGAAATATAAAGTAACCTACTTACAAGTAAATTCTAAAGGGAAGAGCAAAGAGCATAACTTATAGTCTAATAACCTTTAGTTCAGAATTCTGTTTACTATCATTATAGGCTTTGTTACATGACAAAGACAGTTGAGCTTCATGGATGGAGCTTAAATAGTGGTAAAAATATGAATCTGTGAGTTCTTGGAAATAATAAACAGTACTAAATTTAGAATTTTGCTGAATCTGGAATGTTTCTTCTACACAGAAACACTTATGACCACCAGTTTTAGTTTAACAAACATTAATATGATTACTAAATAAACATAACCTACTCATGTTGAAAAATACGTTGTTGAAAATATATTGATAGAGCAGCATTTGTTTCTTAGAGGAAGGCTACATTTGAATTTTTTTTTTTTTACCCTCCATTATTTTGTTTATTGGGCTTACCAAATCTAAGGGAAAACTGTTACTGGCCATAAGATATCTAATGCTTGTTAGTTGAGGTCTGTGTATCAGTGTTAATGTCATTAAGAATCTTTGCCAAAGGGAACAGCTCAGATAAACAAATGTATTGTATTCCTGGCACTATAGATAGAAATAATTAGACAAAGTTCCTAGGTTGTAGGAAGTTGTTTAATGAACACACTAGGAAGTCCCCCTCTCTACTGTTCATGCCTACTACCCTGAGGAAACTGGGACCATCAGGTTATTTTCTCCTCCCATTTCCATACATAAACATGAGAAATAAGAAAAATATTTAAGAAATAGCTTATGTGACTTCTCATTATATGCAGCTAAGTCATGCTGTCATACTTGTCAGCATACAATTCTCTTAGAGCCATGAAACTCTAGGTATTTGACAAATCTTGAGAGTGAAGATTTTGTTTTAACAAACATTTGCATCTACATATAAACTTAACATTTTTGGAGACTTTACTATACCTGGCCTTAGTTTTTCATTTTTTTCTCAAATCAGTTTAAATGAATATAAGATTTAATTTAGAATAAAGTACATTTAAATTCTTAATACCATCTCTAAATAACATCAGTTTAAACTTGTTTTAATAAATGGTGATTTTCCTTTTTTCCTTAGTACCAGGGTGGGAATGGCTCAAGCCCAGTAAGAGGCATACCTGCTGCAATCCGTTCTCCTCAGAATTCGCATTCACATTCCACTCCTTCATCTGTAAGTTTTTTCTTGGGTAGTCATAGATAGGACTATGTATATTGAATAACTTTTATACTTTATTTTATTGAGAGCTTCTCTATGTTTTTGTCTTTTTAAAAAAATTCTGTGAGCTGAGTTGAATCCTTTTTAATCTGATCTGATGTTCATAGATTTAATTTGATTGGACACTATTATTAGAACTTTAATTCTAAAAGCAATTCCTAACTTGAAGATTGTCCATTATGTCCAGAACTAATTCTGTGAAAGAATGCTAATGAGCCTGAGACTAACATGAATACTCTGTATCGTTTCACATTCAGTTACTGACTTAATCTTTTTTTGCCAATTAAATTGCTTAATCACTAAAAATGGTAATTTTTTTCCGAGAATCCTTATGAAAGAAGTAGGTAGCCATCAGCCTAAGATCATTTAGTTCAGCATTAGAGAAAGATCTTGGACCTAAATATTACCTTTCAGTTTCTTGGTTTGTGTCTTATGTTTCAAGATACAGTTTTATATGCATTTTTTTAATTACTGGATTTCATTTATTCTTTACATATGTAAAAATTGATCACTAATCAAAAAATATATAATGAAACTCAGTAATTTAAAGATAAATATTGTTAAAGCAGGATATTTATTCAAGTACCCTGACTTGCTTCCAGTGTTCCTTATAGTCCTTGTCTATAGACGTGTTGTATTGTACTTGTAACTTTGGGCATATTATATTGCTGTATAAAAAGTAAAGCTTAAGATTGCTTGAACAATAATGTTTAAGAGTTGTGGTGATAACCATGATATAATCCTCTACATTCAATGAATATGTTTTAAAAACAGTGACTGAATACACCATGAAATTCACCAATAAATTGATAACTACACTACATAAGAGTATCCCTAGTATTAAGTGTTCATTATTAAGAAGATATTTTCAGGTTTTCTTTTTTTGACCTATTATAATTTGTTTTTGTTTTTAAGACTTATTTATTTATACTTAAAAGAATTGGGGTGCAGGCCAGAGGTTTGTGGGAGGGTGAGAGAATTCACCAGAGACAGAGTGAGGAACAGAAGAGGTGGATCTACTAAAATATACTGCTGATGAGAGGAGCAGTGGCTGAGACAGAAGAGATCTGTACCATGTGGGTCAGCTCCCTGGCTGACTGGCGATCGAACTCAAGCTGTAGTGGCTCAAAGTAGCTTAATAGCCTGACTTTTTAACCTCCCCTCTGCACCATCAGGGAAGTCTTATTATAATTTGTTTTTATTTATATGTTTTTGTTTCAAAATGTATTTGGCCTTTTCTAATACATTGAAAGTGTTAAATTTTCTTTTATGGGACTAATATGTATACTCTTGGAGGGCAGAAAAAAATATATTGGGCTCTCATTAGGCCTTACGTAAGGGAGTACTCAGTGAATGCTTGTTGAATGAATGGTGATTGGAATTCTAGTTAACCATGTTTAAGCTCATATTTTATCCTGATATAAGCCTAAGAAATGTTAGTCATTAAGCAGAAACCTTTTTTCCTTTGCTAATAAAAAATTTTCTTTCTTTTCTTTTTTCAAGGTTCGACCGAATAGCCCTTCTCCTACTGTATTAGCTTTTGGGGACCACCCTATTTTACAACCAAAGCAGTTATCCTTTAAAATTTCTCAGGTACATTATTCTTTGTATTACTTCTAACAAAGCAGTGACCAACTATGTACAAACAAATCTCTACTCTTGTTTTCAGCAGGCATAGTCATAAGGTAAAATTCAACATCAACAAAGTTTATTAAAACAACAAATGTTTGTTGGGGTGAGAATTTGAAACAACCAGTTTACTATCAGCTTGTTTTTTGTTACACACTGGTTGCATATATAGATGTGTTAGCAAGCTAAAATATATCAATTCTGACCTTTTGAACTTAACACCCAAAATCATTGTCTTCATAAAGATGTTATAAGTACACATCAGAGCAGTTAATTTAGGGGTCTTTGTGTTAATTTATGTCTTACATACATAAAAAATCATTTGAAAATTGAATCAATCCAGGTGTCTTTCATACTACTTTCACTTTATCAGTTTTGAGTACTAACTTTTCATTTTAACTTTTAATGTGTAAGAGCTTTTGATGGCACGGTCTTATCCTAGGCATCAGGAGAGTAGATCTTTCTGCCTGGCTACCTCAGTTGCTTGGTATATTTCCATTAGACTTTATTTTTTTTGGTCCGTTCATGTCCTAATTGTTATGCACATCAAAATATCTTTGGGTGATCACCAAACAGCTCATGAAAAGTTTGTTATGCTCAAAAATCAGTGACAGTTGACAGTGCAGAGCCATGGTTATATTTTAATGGATATTTTTTTATTATTTAATATTAAATAATACTAGGAAATAATTCAATATTTTATCAATAATCTGAAAAATTAACCTTTAAATGTTTTTGTAAATTTGTAGCATTTGTACTTCTGTAAGTCATTAAAATTTAAAGTTGCACTAAGATTTTGGGGGATACTCTTTACATACACATACAAACTCATACTTTATTTGCTTTTTAGAATCAATAAATTCTAGTTTTATATTTGTATACAGGAGTATGTATAATGGGGCTAATAAAGTAACTTTCTTTCATTTAGACTGATCTTACAATGCTGAAATTAGCAGCCTTAGAAAGTAATAAAAACCAGGATCTAGAAAAGAAAGAGGGTCGCATAGATGACTTGCTCAGGGTAAGTAAATACATCATGGATGGGAAAAATGACTAAATTAATTTTGGCAAATAAGTTGAGAACCTGCAGTTTAGGATGAAAATCTGTATTGAGGAAAATAACTTTTCCTGATACTAAAAGGTATGCATGATTTCAAACATAAGCAGTAAAGTGAGAGTTTTTTTTCTTAGTTCTTTAACTGTCAAATGAGAAACAACTGGAAAATAGAAGGACATTTATAAAATCTTATTTATTTGTCAACTATCATATCAATTTTATGTTAGCTTTAAATTTGATTTTTGTCGTATCTCTGCAATCCTATGAGATTTTTAGCAGAAACTTTATTTTAAAAACATCAACAAGTATACTTACAATGTGAGTGAGGTGTATAGCAGTGGTTCTCAGCACTTCATTGCTCACTAGACTCATCAGAGGGTGAGTTGCACTTCACAAACTGCCACCCTGAAAGCTTCTGATAAAGTTGATAAATCATAAGACATGGGCATTAGTAGTGTTGAATACTCCCCCAAATGATTCTAACATAGTTTTGCAAACCATTGGTATGAAAACTCAGTAAAACCAACACCTGTAATCCTATCATAATTACACTTTATGATCCCATTCTATTCCTTCCCTGTACTTTAACTACTAAGCACTATTCTTAAGTTTTGTATTTGTCACACTTTTGTGTTTATTTTTTTTTAATTACCTATGTATATCAGTTCTTAACGTTTCAGTTTGTTTTTGGACTTTATGTAAACAAAATTAGATTGTATTGTAAAATTAGATTGTGTCCTGCTTGTTTCCACTGAACATTATATGCAGGAATATCATGTAGTGTACTTATTTCATTTTCATGCTATATATTGTAAGACTTTGCTCCACAGTAAAGTGCTACATATTCTATGTACCATAATTTATCTTTTCTGTTTTTAGTGACCATTTTGCTTATGTTTTGTGCTAAAGCTAACAGTTCAGAACATTGAACAACATTAAGAACATTGTTGTGCATGTCTTTTAGGGAAAATATGGAAGAATTTCTCTACAGTATATGTTTAGTAAAGACATGGCCAGAATACAGGGCTAATACTTTAATTTTACTTTATATGGCCTAAGGTCGACCAAAGTGGTTGAATCACTTTACTTTTGAGCAGCAGTGGGCCAGAAATCATCTTTGTTACTTATTATCCTTGTCTAGACTTGTAATAGTCAGGTTTTTAAAAAATGATTTTTATCCAAGTTAATGGCTATAACATGGTTGGTTGGTGTCTTTTATGCGTTCACTGTTCATTTTTTTGAATTTTTATTCAAAATATTTTAAAGTGTTTCAAATGACTATTTTAAAGTTAACCATTTTTTTTTTCTCCTGTGAAATAACTGGTCATGGCATTTGTTCATTTTTCTTACTGAGTTACTGTCCTTTTTCTAATTGATGTCAGTTTTTTGTTCCACACATATTTTGATTTTCTCCAAGTAAGTTTGTTTCATCAGGCTCTCTTTTGATGATTAATTGCACTTAAAACTTTTTATATGATTAAACATCTTATTTTGTCTATTCTGTTTTGTTTATACCAAATCATTGTTCAGATCTTACCAAAATAATGCTTTTTATCTCTAGGTCAAAGAGATATTTATATTTTATTTCAGAAGTTTTATAATCTTGCTTTTCAATTCAAGTTTATCTATTGGAATTTATTGTGGTGTTAAATCAGGCTTTATTTTTAGTTTTATTTCTATATAGATAGCCAGTTATCTGACCTATTTAAAAATTCACTTTTTATCACCGTCTCAACCAAGTTATTAGTTTATTAGTTTCTGCAAACAAATGAATCTATCTCTTTGTTCTCTACTATGTTTCATGTACTGTGCATGTGTTACACTGCTACCACAGCATCTTTATCATTTAGCAATTGCCTTTGGCTATTAGCAGAAAAAGTAAAGAATACTTTAAATCTGGAGACACAGTTTTTTTTGGAGAAAAGAACAGAAGTGGACAGCCCACATATAATGGCTTCACATGGTCTTTTACTTGGGATCTTGGCTCCTTTGGTTTTTCTCCTACTTCATCTTTAGTGTATGATTTCCATCTTGAAGATCATATTCAAGGTGAAAATATTTATTATAGCTTCATTACTAATGCCTATGTCCATTAATAGAGAACAGGAAGAGAAAGGGATTAACAGATAGTACAAGTATGTGTAGCTTTGAACAACTTCATGTTTGCATTGCATTAACCATCCTTAACTGCAAGGGGAAACTTTTTTTAATTGGGATACAGGCCAGAGGTGCAGGGGTAGTAAGTGGCTTCCCCAGAGACAGAGTGGGGAGCAGGATAGGCAGATCAATAAAGTATACTGCTAAGAGGGGCAGTGGGCAAGACAGCAGGCAAGACTGCTGTGCCATGTGGGTCATCCAGGCCAGGGATCAAACTCGCACTGAAGCAGCTGTGGCCGCTTGCAATGTTGCATCCCAACCCATTGTGCCACCAGGGAGTGCCCTAATTCTTAGTTTTTAATGGAGGAGAAAATAGAGCTGAATGATAATAATTACTGTAGCTCCATATTAAATCTTAATAATGTGGTTGAACAAACATCCTCTCGTTTTTTACCCATTGTGGTCTTAGAGAAATTTTGCAATGGTTTTCAAATTTTATACACAGACATAATTTGGTGGGGTTTTATTTGACTTGCCCCTAATAAGCATCTGTGTGTGCTTAAATTGCACTTGTGTTTCTCTGAAAGTATCTTTATTTCACCCTTGTTTCTTTTTTTAAGGAAGTTTTCTTTGATACATAATTTTAGATTGACACTTTATCCTAGCATTTTCACTTTATTATGCCACTATCTTTTGGCTTAGTTTGGCCTATGCCTATGCTTCTCAGAGTGCAATCCCTAGACCAGAACCATAGGATTATTGGAGAACTTGTTACAATTAAATTTTAGTCCCTATCCCAGAGCCTAGTGACTTAGAAACTCTGGGTGGGGGATCTCAGCAGTCTGTGTTCAAAAAGCCCTCCAGGTTATTATTATTCGCTTGTTGCTATTCTAAACTATTTTCATTAGCTTAGCTCAGAGAGCCCCCTTCTCTGTGCACATGACTGACAACAAAATTAACAAAATTGGTGTCTTGTTGCCAGAAAGATGGTGAAGATAGTGAATTGGTAACTACAGTGTCATCCATAAGTTTATGGGGAAAAATATTTTTCAATTATAAAAGATGGAGGAGAATTCATTTATTTTTAAGTGTTCGCTTTTTTTATATATATTTCAATTATTTATTTATTTATGCATATAGAACTGGGGTACAGGCCAGAGGTACAGGGGGTGAGAGGATTCACCAGAGACAGAGTGGGGAGCAGAGTAGGCAGATTGATGAAGTATACTGCTGAGGGGAGCACTGGGTGAGACTGGGGAGATCTGCTGTGGCTAGCTTGCAGTGCTGCATCCTAACCCATTGTGCCACTAGGGAGGGCCCTCAATTATTTTTTAACTGAGTAAATGGCATTGCTTCTATTTTAGAAAAAAGAACATTGACTTAATTTAAATAATTTCTCCAGCTTTTATACCTCATTGTTTGAATTTTAAAACTTGAAATGTGGATATAAATTTCATGTACTTTCCACTACACAAGTAAGCAGCATTAACTGAACTAGTTAAGCAGTAGTTGTTTAAAATAAAAAGTGTTAATACTGAACTTAATCTTACTAATTCTTTCTCTATGTAATTTACTCAAAACATTTAAAATGTGTTTCTTCAGTGTCTCATATACAAAAATCCTAGACATTTCTCATTTTTTCTTTATGTTGTAGGCTAACTGTGATCTCAGACGACAAATAGATGAACAACAAAAATTACTTGAAAAATATAAAGAACGATTAAATAAATGCATATCAATGAGCAAAAAACTGCTCATTGAAAAGGTAAGTTTAAAGTTCAGTAATTCTTCCTTTTCTTTCCACTAGCCCCTTTGCTTGTATGTTTTTAAATTTTAATTGGATAAATTAAGTGAAGATTTTTTTCCTCTTTTCAGAGTACGCAAGAAAAACTGTCAAGCAGAGAGAAGAGTATGCAAGACAGATTACGCCTTGGGCACTTCACAACAGTTAGACATGGTGCTTCATTTACTGAACAATGGACAGATGGTTTTGCATTTCAGAATCTTGTGAAGTTAGTCATTCTTACATTTAAAAAAAATTTAGTATGCCTTTGGGTTTTCATTGCCTTCTAAGATTGTAGATTTTGAATTCTACCTCTTATATCTCTTTGGAATCTTAGAATTTAGTGCTTTGAAAGGAGCACAGAACAGAGCAATTGCAATTTTAGTGTTAGTGGACTTAATGATTTGTTAGCATTTATATAATGTGGTGTATTACTCAAAATATATAATTTCCAAAATATAAGCTAATCTACCTTGATAAGAAATTTGTTGAAAACTTAATTTTCTTTGCAAGATTATAACTATATAGCCTAGGATTTCCCTTAATCCCCCCTCCTCCCACTTCTCCAATCCTTATTTCGGTTTTAATATTTATCACTTGTCTGCTCTCTGTATTCCTTCAGAGAGAAAAAAAAAACAAAACAGGAATTTTTTCTCTTCTGCCTTAGATACATTGGCTCATAAATCAGTTGAACTGAACATGTGACTTTAAACATTTCTGAGGTAAATTTTAAAACAAATCATTATTACCATTTTTTCCTGAGTTCAGATGTGTTGGTAAGACTAATTTGACTCCTTTAGGTGCTTCCCCTTTTTTTTTTTTTTAAAGAAAAAAAAAAAACCTGAAAATCTCATCTTCACTAAGTGTCAACCCAGTTAGAGAAATTGAAGGCAAAACTTTGACATAGCATGCCATAAGCGTTGTTTGTGAATGCTGGTACAAGGTTACTTACCAGGGAATGACTTACTTTATATCTCATTTGATTTATTCAACGTTTTTTCAGTATAGCTGTGCTAAATGTTAAGTATGCCATCACAAAGTACAGTGTCCTTGAGATACCAAGAATTAGGGTTTTAATTTCTATGGTGACAAGCTGTTAATGGTTTCTGTATAGTGTGGTAAGACTTCAGTTTTAGAAAAGAAAACTCAGAATATGGAAATAATATTTACAGTTCAATAATATTGACAGTTCAGATAGGCAGATATCCAAATGAAAGGTGTTAGAATTGATATAAATTATTGACAAAGTACAGAATAGGAGATACCCTTAACTAGAAACATTTTTGACTGTAATATAAACAAGAATCTCTGCCAACACATACCTACAATTGTCCTGAGAATGAATAAGAATAGTGATTGAATAATAGAACCTAAAAATATAAACTCTCCCAGTAGTTAAGATATCTCCGTTGAACTGTCAAAAGAGCAAAATTGGAATTTCCAGGTTGGTGAACATGTGGAAACTTGGGAAGAGTGGCGCATCTAGAAGGGATATGAAAGGTGTGCGACCTTTTAATGTACCTTGCCACTTGCATCTCTTCCCTTTGGCTGTTTTGAGTTAACATCATTTTATAATAAACTGGAAATCTACTTTCTGCTTTTCATTAATACATATTTATTGAGTGCCTTCCTTGTGTTACGTAGATGTATTTTATGTCAGTCTATTTATTAATATATATGAAGCTGCATATCAATGATAATAAATCAGAACAGTTGAAGAATGAGAAAAGAAATATATGTAGTATTTTATGGTTATTGATTTCTGAATAATCAGGTATTAGCTATCTTTCCATTCCGGCTTATATTTTTTACTGTTCCATTAGAATTTAATCATTAAGGTTGTCGTTGTTTTCATTTATAACATCTCACTAGTACTCTCATCTAGTTTTGAAAGTTGATTTTTGTAATAAGTTGAAATCTTCCCCAATTCAAGTGAAAACTGGATTAAGTTTTGTTCTGGCTTTACTATTCTTGAGGTTTTTCTCTGTTCTTTTACTATGCTCCTAAGTGAATCTTGATTGCTTCATTCCCTCCTTGTTCTACTACTTCTAGCTAGTTATGGCAAAAACAAATGTGTATAAAGCCAGTTTTTCATCATTCAAGGTAGACGTTCTATCATTCTGGCTTACATGGGCATGGGGGAGCAAGAATTAAAAACATTTAACCTAAAATGTTCTAAATCTAAGTATCATAATTCTAGTATTTAAACTATTTTGTAGCATGAGTGAGGTAACCTAGTAGGGAACATAGTTACTAGTACAACAAGCTTAAGGTATAAGTTAGGATGCGATGATTTTTAAAGGTTCGGAACTGTTAATTACTTAATGCTCTGGTTAAATTGCTAAAAGTTTCCCCTTATAGTTCTCATAGCTATTAATTTTTAGAATTAGTAACCTTTGTATTCTTGAATGAGAGACACTAGTAATTTTACTTCTTTTAATTGCCCTTTTCTAAAGTCATGTTAGTTTTTCTTGCTTTTTCTTTATCAGTATCTCTTTTTTTCTTCCTAAATGTCTTATATTAAGATCAGTTGTTGTTTTATTTGAAAATATCATTTGACCATTCTCAAAATTTCTTTTAACAGAGATAGTTTAGAAAACACTAATTAGCTTCATGTTTATATTTTATAAGCTGTTACTGCAAGCGTTAAGTATGAAATACATGTTTAAAATCTAATTTGTTCATTTTTTTCCCTTTCCATAGCTTATTTATTTCAGCAACTATTTACTGAATACTTAATATTCCAGTGTGCTGGGAACCAAAAGGATAGCAAATAATTAGAATCTCTGTTCACATGGATTAATGTAGTCTTACCAGATACAGGAATGACATTATTTAAAAGGAGTTGAGGAACTATTAATGATAACATAGCAACACATCTTTCCCTAGTCCAGGAGATTTAGGGATGACCTCATTGAAATGAATGTTCAAAATGATACCTGGACAAGTATTAATTGATTCACAAGATTGGAACCCTTAGGTTATAATTTGTGGTTTTATTATATGATTTTTCATGTTTATTAATCTCTTTTCCTGTTTCAATTATAAAACAATCAAAGGTTAATATGGTTTTTAAATTTTATTTTTATATAGGCAACAGGAATGGGTGAATCAGCAAAGGGAAGACATTGAAAGACAAAGGAAACTTCTAGCAAAACGCAAACCTCCCACAGCTAATAATTCTCAGGCACCCTCTACCAATTCTGAACCAAAACAAAGGAAAAACAAAGCAGTCAACGGAGCAGAAAATGATCCCTTTGTTAGACCAAATTTACCACAATTGTAAGCTTCCACTTTCAATTTTCCTTTTTTAAGTTGTTACCAATGGGTATGGATGTTAGTAACGAATGTTTTTTGTAGTTAAATTAATACATAAATAGTAAAAATAGTTACGGCCAGGAAGGAAGGCATTATTAAAAATTGATCTCTACATTAACAATAAGCCTCAAGTATTTCTGCCTTCTAAATTGGCGATATATGAATTAATCTTTTTAAGTTGAGACTTAGGTACCTAAGAGGAGATGAAATCCATTCATTTGTGAATGATAATTACTAGTTCTTGGTTGCTCCATTTCAGTGTTCATATTAATTTTTTTTCCTGATAAAATGTTAAAATGTAACGACACATCTTCTCAGCCTATACAGGAAAACAGTAGGATACAGGTATTGCTTTCCTCTTTTCTGCTGTTCTGTTTTCTAAGTTTTCTTCACTAATGATAAGTTAATCTTTGTAATACAGACATTATAAAAATAGTTTGACACTTACTTGGAATATGGAAAGAGCATAATAAAAAAAAAAACACAATCCCATTGATCTCATTCTACAGAGAATACCATTGTTAAAATTTTAATGTACATCTAAACAAGATTTTTTTTTTGTTCTAGAACCTATGTTTTTGTAAGTAGAAAATACATACATACATATACATAGAATGAATGTATGCTTTTTCTAATGTTTTATTTTATGCTTTGAATCCCATTCATGCTACAGCAGGAATCTCTTATTGATGCTCCCTTTATCTAATACCTTACAATGTTTTTCTCTTTACAAATTCCTTCTTTTTAGAAAGTAAACAAAAGGAATAATTCTCCCTCAGTTATAAATCCCTGTGGTCCGTATTCTGTGTCATCTTTGTAACTAGGTGTCTTTATAAAGTGAATTTTTTTTTTTAAAGATTTATTTATTTATTTGTGCATACAGAACTGGGATACAGGCCAGAGACTCAGGGGCGGTGAGAGGCTTCACCAGAGACAGAGTGGGGAGCAAAACAGGCAGATCGACAAAGTACACTGCTGAGGGAAGCAGTGGGCGGGTCAGGAGAGGTCTGGCTCGCCATGTGGTCTCCTCTGGGGCAGGAGGCAGGCGGGAATCGAACTCATGCCGAAGTGGCTTCAGATTCTCAGTGCTGTGCTTTAACCCGCTGCGCCACCAGGGAGGGCCCGTAACTAGGTGTCTTTAAAGACCTGCATGTGTCTGCAGCTTTTTCTGCCTTACCGTATATTCTCTTTCCTTAACAGAAATTGTTCTTTTAAGGAATTGTTGTGAAATGCCATAGATACACATTTTAGATTTTCACTTGGCAGCACCGATATTGTTGAGTTCTTTTTCTTCTCTACCCTCCCCGCCCCCCAAAAAGACTCTTACCTTAGTTTTATGATACTTTGTTGTCCTAATTTTCATTTTAGCTTACTTGGCTACATCTTCTCAGTCCCTTCTGTGAACATTTACTCTACCAATTTGTAAAAATTAGTTGTATTTTAGGTATCTCTCCTAGGCCACCATCTTATTCCATATGTTCCCCTTGAGCTACTTTCAGAGTTAGTAATAGTATCCAAATTTTTATCTCCAGCCCACTTTTCTCTGATTAGTATCAAATATTTGTGTCTTAGTCTTGAATGTCATATTGTTGTTTTCTTGATATTCATCCTTGAATGCCTTCCCAGAACTTCCAATGCAACCTGTTCAGAACTGTATTTATTGAAGAACACAAAAACTTACATTTCCCATTCATTCTCTCCCCCACTTCAGACATGCAAAAACGCTACTGCCTTTCTTATATTCTCTGTATTAGTAAACACTGCTACCATTCTCAAGTTCCATATGCCAGAATTCTGATTGTCACCCTTAATATTTTTTTATCCATGTTTACTACTTTCCTTTATTTTTTTAAAAAGATTTATTTATTTTCATTGTGTAGAAGAATTAGGATGTAGGCCATGGGTACACGGGAGGAAAGGATTCACCAGAAATAGAGTGGGGAGCACAACAGGTGGACTCACTGAAATACACTGCTGACGGGAGCAGTAGATGAGTCAGAAGAGGTCTGCCACACCATGTGGGTCAGCTCCCTGGCGGGGTTTGAACTCATGCTGCAGTGGCTGGCAGTAGCCTGATACCCCTAAGACTTTCCCTGCACCACCATTGAGGCTCTACTACTTTCCTTTTAAGGCTCTACTACTTTCCTTTTAAATAGGTGGTGATAATCTTTATCTTCAGAGTTCATATCAGTTCTACTTCCTTCTTAAGTCTTTCTTAATTTTGAGGAGCTGTTGTAAACTGGAATTAAAGCATCTATCTCTAGTACTTTATTAACAGCAAAATATAACATCTTTTTCTTAGAAATCATTAAATTTGTTGCTTAATAAAATGGGTGAAGGGGTAAGCAAGTTTGATTATTTTTTCACAGAAGCAAGTATGACCCCTGCAGTGACCAATTCTCAAATCTCAAATATGTTCACTTATTGCCAAATCCATAGCTCAAGTTACTACTCTCTCTTTAGTTGGGTTATTTTCTCTATCTCTACTCCCAACTTCAATTTTGGTCCAGTTCTTCAGTTCATATTCATCTGAATTCAGAGTAATTTTTTATTAAATGAAAGTGGTATTTTTTCATTCTCTTCTTTTCTTTATAATCCTAAAGTAGCTCACTGTTGCTTAAATGATACTATATCCAATTGTTTTAAGACTTACATAGACTTGGGCCCTCCCTGGTGGCGCAGCGGGTTAAAGCACTGCACTGAGAATCTAAAGCCACTTCTGCATGAGTTCGATTCCTGACTGCTCCGGAGGAGTCCACATGGCGAGGCAGACCTCTCCTGATCCGCCCGCTGCTCCCCTCAGCAGTGTACTTCGTCGATCTGCCTGTTCTGCTCCCCACTCTGTCCCTGGTGAATCCTCTCACCCTCCGCATCTCTGTCCTATACCCCAATTCTGTATGAATAGATAAATCTTTAGAAACAAACAAACAAAAGACTTACATAGTCTTAATAAGGCATGGCTTATAAAACAACTTTTTATCTGGGTCCTTATGACCTCACCAACCTCATCTTTACCTTTGACTAGAACTTCCCCCTTCACTTCCAAACTCCAAACATTTGTCTTAATTTTAGTTCATCTTTTTTTTAAAAGACTTATTTATGCATACAAGAACTGGGGTACAGGCCAGAGATGTGGGGAGTACATAGAGGGGTGGGTGAGATGCTTCATCAGAGACAGAGTGGAGTGCAGAACAGGCAGATTTTCTAGATATTTCTTCTTCCTAAAAGCTTTTGCTTGACCCTGAAAGAAGAGTTAATTATAATTACTTCTAGGGTATCACCATAGTGCCCCTCTGACTCCACGTGGTTAATAACCTTGGAACCATCTTAGATGTTGTTCTTCTTTCCTACTTCTCCGTATCTTTTTTTTTTTAAGATTTATTTATTTATGGATACAAGAACTGAGGTACAGACCAGAGGTGCAGGGGGAGGATGAGAGGATTCACCAGAGATGGGGTGGGGAACAGAATAGATACTGACTGAAATATACTGCTAAGGAAAGCAGTGGATAGGACAGGAGAGTTCTGTACCATGTGGGTCACCTTCTAGGGATCAAATTCAGTGCTGCAATGGTTAATGACAGCTTGATAGCAGTACACTTTAACTGTCATGCCACCGGGAAGGTGCCATCCCCTATCTGTTTCTATAACATTTTTGTATCTGTCCATCTTCATTGTCATTAGCTATGTATGGGTTCTCATCTCTTTTTAAAAATAAACTTAAATTACATTTTCTTATATATCTTATCATGCCACTGTCATGTGTAAACTCCTTCATTGGCTTTCATGATAAAGTTCATTCATGGAGATCCTTTGTAGTCCTTCTTATTTCTCGCTTTAGCTTCTTTCTCTACCATGTACCCTAATGTCCTACCTCAGGCTTTTGTTAGTTGTATAAATGGATTTTATTTTCTTGTTTATTTGGCAGAAGCTTGGTTCATTTTGTTCCTTGTCTCTTTACCTGTCTCATTTCCCATTCATCCTTTAAGGCTCGACTCCAACACCAATCTCAAGAGGAAAATCTTCTGACTTTATTTTTGATTCTCAGTTTCTACCTATTTCCCCTAAAATGTTCATAACATTTTGTATGTGGCAGTCTGTGTTGTAGCATTTATATCACTTTTATCTCTGTATTTCCATTATTTAGCATAGCATGAATTCAGTAAATACAGTCTTCCCTTGGTATCCAAGGGAGATTGGTTCCATGTCCTACTTGATACCAAAATCTATAGATGTTCAAGTCCTTCATGTAAAATGGTGTAGTATTTCTGTATGACCTGTGCACATTCTCCCGTATAACTTAAATGATCTCTAGCTAACTTACACCACCTAATACAATGCAAATGCTATGTAAGTAATCTATTGCATTGTTTAGGAAATGATGATGAGAGAAGTCTTTATGTTTTTATTATAAGTAATTATCGTAGACCTTAACTATCTGGGATGTATTTTCAATCCAGTATTTGTTAAATTTATGCATAGAACCCAGAGACACAGAGAACTGACCATACTAAATTGTAATACATAAGCATTTGATTGAGTTTCATATTTTCATTCTCAAACTTTCTTTTTTTCTTTGGTTCACTGGTCTTTTGCTTGTCTTCTAATGTGAAACTCTAACCATAGTTTAACACTCATTACCATATATTTTATCACTTATACTGACATAGAACTAACCTTTAAGTGACACTGGTATGTGTTCCTGGAATAAATTCATAATGTGTAACAGTTTGATTGTATCCTAATATAAATGCAGGTGTAAGTAAGCAGGAAAAAACCCACAGATTCACTTTGATTCATAAATAATAGCTTGATTTTAGCAGTTCTACTCAGTACTGTCTTCCGAAAAACTTTTTATAAATCTATATTATTGTTAAATTTATAAGTGTTTACTATCCCCACCCCCTCCTGTTATCACCATAGCTCCCCACATTCCTCCCTCTTTCTGTTCCCTCTCTTGTCTCC